CACCGCAGGCATGCAGGATCAACTTGCAGTTCTGCCCACCACACACAGACCAGGGGGCTGAGTTCTCCTCTCAGAAGGTTCTATGGCCCTATCTGGCTTGCCCTGGTTAGCACAGCTTGTGAGCTGCAGCCATTGCTTGCTGACGGCGACAGATGGCAGTAGGCTGCTGAGTCCTCCCAGTCACCAGAGAAGATTTAACAAGTAAAAACCTGCAAACTCTTTATTAAATTCTCCCATTTCATCTGTACAGAAAAAAATGCACATTATGTTCAGAATCTCAGTAACATCTCAAAATTACACAGCATGAACATGTAAAAACAAGGAACTGCCAGGATTTTGTACATAGAAAGGAAAACCATTTACAAAAGTTTTGTTAATTTTACTTTTTCTCTTTCTTTAAAAAAAAAAAAGAGAGAGAGAGAGACATTAAAGGCCTAAGCTCACGGCACTCTCTGTGCGTCTGTGTTCTGCTGGGACAACCCGTGCCATTGTGCTAGGCAGCGCTGCTCTCCTCGGTGCCAGCACTCCTGCCAGCACTGCGTCCAGTGCGCGGCAGCCGGGAACCTGTGCAAGCCACCAGGCCAGCTGGGCTCTGGGTCCAGATAGCAATCCTCTTGGAGGGAAGGCAAAAAGCAGACTATAGAGGCACTATCTGACCCTTTCCTGCCTGGGAAGACTTCTTACTTGGCACCTCCCAACACCCCTACTGTCCGTCATGGGGCATCACTGAAAGGGGAGCAGGGTAAGGATCCTTCACCACCAACCAGCCCGGAGAGGGCTGCTCCACTTCTGTACTCCAGTGAGGCCTGGTCCCTGGGTCCCCCCAGGCATCTCACCAGATGATTTAGGGAAATCTGTTCTCTTGTCTGAGGTCTGGGTGGAAAGGATGAGTTTGCCCTAACATGTGACCTTGGCCCCAGAGAGGGAGCGGGACCACGAGGAGTGTGTGACATGGTCAGACATGGGTGAGGCCAGGTTCCTGTGGCCCAGGTCCCTTTGAGGAGCAGAGATCAGTGGTGCAGAAGGCAGAGTAAGGAGAGACGTGTCCCCAGATAGCCTAAGAGAAGCCCACAGGCTCAGAAGGCTGTTTTCTACAACTCCAAGGATGCCTTTGAAGCAGGGAGGAAGTAAATGAAGCAGTCTGATCTCTGACGTTTCTAAAATTCCTAAGAAGTAAAATATAAGTAATCTCTGGCAAAACACTCACATTTCAAAAAGCCACTGTTTTTAGCAGCACTGCTGGAAGCCCAAGAAGTCCACCTGCGAAAACCCATCTGGAGTCCCCTTCTGAGAGACGGGCCTATCCCCATGCGGCATCACAGCTGCACCCCAGATTCTCATTTCCTTTGACCCAGGTGCAGGGGAGACTGGTGCAAGCAGAAGAGCATCCTGTAGGCTCCGGTGTGGTGGACCAGAGAGGATGGATGTAAAATGGATGCATCTACATATGATATCTCAGCCTCTCCTGTGCCAGGCTGAATGCTGGGACCGCTCCCCCTTTCTGCTACGAATAGCATTCTGGGGTGTGCAGCAAGGGGTCAGGCCCCGCGACCTGGCTCTTACACATAACGAAATCAGCCAACAACAACAAAGTGAGATGAGAGCCTTAAGAGACTAACTGTAAACTACCACTTCCAAACATAGGCATCTGCATAGGAAGTGAACAACTGAAGCCTTTTGTCCTGGAAACTGGCACTCGAGAAAGAGGATGTCCTGATTGAGCAGAGTCGCGTGTGCTGGACATTGTGCCCAGTCCTCGAACCCCACTGATCCCCTACCTGAAGCTCTATCTGCGAAGGTTCTACAGCTCCAGAGTAACAGTATATGTGATAAATAAAAAAACATTGCTACAAGTCTGAGCACTCTTTGTCAAAAAAAAGTTAAGAAAAGTGATCATCTCTCTTCTATGGTCGAACTACCTGTTTAATGTGACAGCACTGTGTGGCTGGGTTGGTCGACTTTCCTGGGTCTCTTGTCAGCTTCCTTCTTAAGTGCTGACTTAGAATAAGTTATATGTAGCATTTGTTAATTTTTGTGGTGGGGAAAGACTAGGAAAAGATGGCCTTTCCCCAGAGAGACTGTGGACCAGCTAATACACAAGGCCCCAAGAAGCCACTGACCCTCCATGGCTAACTCCCATAGTACAGATCTTTGGGCTGGCGCTGGACCAGAAATCTGGACTGTGGAAGGAGGGAGACATCTCCAGGCGTCTGGAGATGTTAAGAGGAGGGTATTTCTCAAAATGAGGAAGACTCTTGAGATGGACGGACACAGTGGCAGTAACAATGGACTCAAACACAGCAACCAACGTCAGGATGGTGCGGGTCCAGACAGTACTTTGTTCGGTTGAACACAGGTCACTATAAACTGCAACGGACTCCACAGCACCGCATGACGGCTTCTCTGAGGAAGGCACGGGGCCCTGTAACTTCCTTTCCAGTTGGTCTGATGGGGATGCTATAGACCTTGACACCATTGGATTCTTCTACGATGAAACCTGACAGTAATTCCTCTACTCCAGCAGCCTTAAGCTGCTCACTGCTATCCAGAAAACCAAGTACACCAGGCAAGGCTGCAGTGGATTCTAGTCACTATCTGCTCACTGAATGCAACCCCATAATCCCTCTAACTTATTAGGGTGCACTAGCTTGGCACATGCTGACTAGGTCTGCAGAACTGGGGCTGTTGACTTGGACTGACAGACAGAGGGCCTCCAGGGCACACAGGGTGGTGGTTTCCCAACCACGCCCTGGCTGGCAGAGTTCTCTGGGGACAGAGCAGGAGCAGGGCAAGGATGGGACACCAAAGTAAAAGGATCACTGGCAGAGCTACCTTCTTTGATTGTGAGTGCTCTGCATGAGGTGAACCAGTCTTGTTTTTGACTTTTTGCCCAGACTTCTGGTTTTCTGAACCACAGCATCTCCGGAGAATCCTGGCCCCTCTGGAGTGTCGTTGAGCATACTATGTGTAGGAGGCTCTGAGTCACTGGAGTGAGCTCACAAAGCCAGATGACAGTTACTGGGCAATGATCATTTTCAGCAAGTGCCTGAGGCCTTCAGTAACCACTTGGCCTGGGCAACGAACAAAACAAAACAAAACCCCTACCCATTACTTATAGTACTTGAGCTAGACCGCAGGAGACCAGAGCCTTCCATGTGCTCCTACACCAGGGCCAAGCTTTCTGTCCTCTTCACTAGTTCTCTAGTTGGCTCAGACAGTTGCCCGGCCAAGGCCAGTAACTAGAGTGGCTGCAAACTGACTGTTGTGCCAAATGAGGTCAGAATGGATGCGGCTGGGCGGCCACACTGTTTCAAAGTCCCTTAGCTTTGAAACACCTACTCAGAATGCTGCTGGGGGACTGTGAAGGACAGTTAACCTGAAACTACTCCCAGTCAGATGGTGAGAGTCTCTCTTGCAACAAGCAGCTGAAGATATGAGCAGGGCTATCACTTCTGTTTTCACCATTTCTAATGGCCGCAAATGTTTCATAAGCCTCACTCCTTGTCAAACTTCCCAATGTGCAGCAGACAAGTAATGGAAGCCTCTCGGTTACAAAAGGACAGAACTACTGATACATGCTGAACGACAGGAATGCTTCACATATATTGGGAGACAGCAGAGATGGGGTGTGGTACCCCCCAACTCTCGTCAAATGAGGAACACTAATTCCATCCGGTACAGCATACCAGACACCTGCCTTTAGATAACCTTCCTGGTTCTTGATCTGAAGCCTCAGCAGTGCCCCTCCCTCTCTGGACCGAGCCTGCAGGGGGGGCCATGGGGCAAGCACAGACTCCAAGAGCTTCAAGGTCTAAGAATCCCAGGGTAGTTGCTGAGAATCAGGAAGCCTCTAAAAGCAGGGTGCAAGCGCCCAGCAGCTTAGCAGCTCCCCCTGGGAGCTAAGTAGGTAGACTGTACAGCTGGCTTCTGGAAGTGACGTCTCTAGGAGGGGACCAAGAGAAGAAAACCACAGTATTCAAATACCTGGCCCGCCCGGCAGTGAGCCGAGGAGTCATGCTGACCAGCTGACCCACAAGCCGACATCCTCCCACCTCGACCTGGAACACATTTCAGGGAAAACAAGCATTGCCTTAGATCCCGCAGCAAGTGTGGACAGTGGTCGAGATGGCAGGGGAAGGGATGGCAGAGGACTGGGCCTTGGTCTATGGGGACAGTTTTAGGCACATGATTTATAACACTTTGTGGACATCTAACAGGTTAATAAAATATATATTATATAAATATATCTCCTACTGTACATGCTGCCCTCTTGTGCAGCCACTGTGACCTCATGCCCCAAACTCAACCAGAGGTGTGTCAGGACTGACCCACGAGGCCTGGGCTCCCCCTCTTCACACTCCTCCCCTGGACACATAGCGGAAAGAGGGAGAAAGGCCAGGAATACTGCTTCCACAAAGCTCAGGGTCTGGAAAGGCATTGGGTCTACACAGCCAATGGATAGAGGAAAAAAAGAGAGCGGGAAAGCAAGCCCTCCACCTCTGCGTGCGTCACTTCCCGTGCCCTCTCCACAGAAGGAGAAAGGAGCTTGCCTAGAGGCTGCGGAAAGGTCTGGTGGGAGTGCCAGTCACCGCCAAGACTGCACTATTGTCTGTGACCTGTATCACAAGCCTGAAAAGTAACGAGAGAATGGTACCCTGGTCCCCGTCTTCCTGCCCTGCCTCTCCCTCCACCATACGTCACAGAACCTTTTCTCCCAGTCAAAGTCTCCAAGCGGTGGTCTGGAAGAGCTGCCACCTCAGCAGGGTTAAGCCGATCCCGAGAAGTTCAGCTGTGGCCTGGAGGAGGAAGAGACTAGGATCCTGCTACCTGGAGAGTCGGAAGTCAGCCTGCGGTACTTCATGCTGCACCACCCCGAGGGGAGGACGCACAGAAA